TTGGGTTTGGATTTTTTTTAGTATTTCTAGTATTAAGATTAGTAGAGGTCACCAAATTGAAAATACTGCACAAAAGTTAGTGTTACAAGCTTTCCCAGTCAGCAGCTCAGAATCCACAGTAAGTACTGTTTATTAGTCTTAGTTTTGGTGGAAGTCTGTTTTACTGCTTGGAAGTCTGTGCTCACACCAAAAAACAGGGTGCACTTACTGGCACCAGGACTGAGGTTCTGGAAGTCATGCAGTAAAATGCATGTACATCAGATTTCTGTTTTGCATCCTAGAGATCTCATGATGGTTGGCTCAAAATTCAGTTACAAATTATCCTTAGTTTAATTACAAGCCTCTTACCTTTAAAGACTAAGTGAAATGATGGAGTAAAATAGGCAAAGGATGACCATTCTCCTAAGTATGCTTAGGAGAGAAACTGGAGGCATATCCATGAATCTCAGCTTGAGACAAAACCATTCATAGCCTTGCTATCTACCAGCCTTCCAGTTCATCTGGTATATACTGTAAGAGAACATCTGACATTTAGGTCAATGCTTTATAAGCTTTCATAGGCTGAGTAAAAACACCTCTTTTAATCATTGTATGCATCCCATGCATCTTCTTCAGTGCCCAAGAATTCATTAAATTTAACCTAAAATGTTGCGGTCAGCATTTTGGCAATCTGGACTCCGTTTAAAATTTCAAATTAAGAATAAACAATACAAACACTTCAAAAGATTTTGCATAAAACAACTTCTAGAAAGAGATGAAAAACCCCGAGACTGGGATGTAAATCCCAGAGTTATGCAGGGATACAGTGGTGTTACAAACATGATTGATCTCTTCTGAGCTAAGCCGCAAGGATTTTTCAAGAGCTATGAATTAGAATGGCCATATATGGTAGTGAAAGATGAAAGTCCTAAAACTGTGTATGATTAAAACCATTCAGTGACATTCAGAACCTGTTAAACATCACCTTCACCTTCTCCCTGAGCTCTGCATATAAGCATCTTTATAAACGTGTTACAGAAAAGAGATCAGTATGTAAAAGTTTGAAGGTTTTGGGTTGCTGTAGGGAACTGTTAAATTTTTTCCTATGCACTAAGCAATCCGTGATGTTTCCACACTAGGAGTTCATGACTTCTGTAATGTTTTGGTATTTGAAGAATAAAAGTCCTTTGTATTCATGGAGGCAAGCCTTTTATCGCATAACCTAACACTACTGACCACAGAAATGGGAACCAGAAGATAAGCACTGATTTCCATATGCCCAGTCTTTGCTCTGGGACTATAAAGCTTGTTTCAGATATGAATTGGAACCAGTTCTCATTTTTTAACTGTCTTATAAAAGACCATATCTTACTTGTTTTATTTATTTGTTGATTTAAGCTGTGCAAGGTGACTCCTAAGGTGGTGGATTTCAGGTGGTTCATCTTTATTCCTAAGACAGAAATAGCGAAAGTGGTAAGACACAAAGAACTCAATGTGAACTCCACAGAAGCCTCCTGACCCCTGATGTCAGATACTGATTTAGCAGGGCTTCCAAACTCCCATAATATCCTCATGGAAAACTGGGAGCAGCAGTTTATAAACCAGATGATTGTTCTGCCATTCAGACAGGCTGGAGAAATAGGCAAACAGTGTGCCCAGGTCACACACTGGCTCCTGGGCTGCGTTAGGAAGAGCCTTTGCCAGCAGGTTGAGAGAGGTGGTCCTTCCCCTCTGCTCTGCACTGGTGAGATATCTGAGTGCTGTGTCCAGCCCTGGGCCACCAGTACAGAAAAGGCATGGGCATATTGGAGCTTCTGATGGCTCTTACTCTTTCATGGGCATAATTTTATTGTGAAAACCTATTATGTAAGAATGATACCTTCTTCTTTTATCACACTGTGCATCACTTTATCCAGTACTTTTTTACTTACTCGTATTGCTTTTCAGATAAGATAGCCATACTGGATTGACATATGCCAGAGGAAACTGCAGCCCATTTGCTGTCGTGTCAGGGCAGAGCTGTGGACAGGGGTGGGGAGTTACAATGCTGACATGGCAAGCGCAGGCTGTCGATATTACAGATGCCATTGGTAATGATGGTGAAGCCTGAAAGTGGAAAAAATTAGTTCAGTTCCTGACTTCAGGTTTGGCTGATTGCTTAGCAATTTAATAAAGAAAACATTATTACTTGTAATGTGCTTGCTTCACAGTGATTTCAAGAACTGGTCAGTGTGAAGTTCCACGCAATGATACTTTTATTACTACCCATTATTCATTGTAGAACATGTCTCACATACACAGATTTGTGCAGAGGTTGGTTGCAGCTCTGAGAAATAAGTTACTTTATGTAATATTTTGTGCCTAAGAATTATTGAGGATAGAAAGCTATTGTGCAGCTTGTGTGGTTTTATTTCTTTCAGAAGTGTAGACTCACTGGACAAGATACCAATGCAGTAAGACAGTATTTTGTTGCATATTTTATGTTCTGGGAAGAGATATTTATATCTACGCTTTGGCCCAGATTCTGGAACAGCTGCCAGTTTCACAAACAGTAACAATTATGTTCTAAAATGGGAGTAGAACTTCTCAGAATTGAGGTTCCCTATTCCCTATGGAATATATATATATATAGTGTCTGTGTGTATATACACACGTACATACATATATATGTTTTGGGGGAGAGGAGGGATGAGGTAGTGGTGACACCGTTTTTTGTGCTCTCAAACTCTTTATTTTGATTTGGTTTTTGGTTTTCATTTTGCACAGCTTAACCTACTGAGACTCTCACTGTTAGCTTTTTTATTGCAGGGTTGATAAGTAAATTCCAGCAACATTGTGTACTTTAATGTTTTCCTGCCATTTGATTCTTTTCTGTTCAGTTTCTGTTTTTAAAGCCCATGAACTTATTTTATCGAAGTTATTATTATCAAATTATTATTATTTTATCAAACTTATTATTATCAAGGTTGTTTTTCCATATGCATTAGTAATGTTAGTTTTTCCCCCGTGTGAATGGATAACAAAATCTGTTTCAGAAGAAAATCAAAGCCGTCTAGAATGAATTCTGTAAGTTGAGTCCATTGCTGACAGGCAGTGGTCTGCCAGCATTTCCCATCCCTCTGTCTGCACCACCTTCTGTTGCAATGGCAGTGTGCCTGTGGGCAGGGTATCAATGATTTAGTCTTCATTGCTGCAGAGGAGACTGTTCCTTCATGAAAGGGCTGAAAATCCAGGCACCTCCTTAAATGTTGGATTTTATTAGATAAGGTGTAAGAAAATGTTCTGCTTTCTTGTAACTGTCAGCTCAGAATTCAAGACTCAGTTCATGCAAGACTTTTTCTGCAGCTCGCTGATGGCCCTGTGAAAATTACCATTGACTTTACTTAGTTACTGGCTTTTAAAAAACAAAGAACAATTTATTGTGCCTTAATGTTGGCCGTCTCACTGTTAAAGACATATTTCATTGTTTCAGAGTTGCTTCATTTGTTGAATAAGCTAAGAATAAAAAATGTAATGTTGATGGTTATGAATGCCAAATATCTGTCCTGCTTAGGATTATGAACAGACTCTTCTCCCAGTTGATTAAGTACAGAAATTCAGAAATTGGGAAGAACTCTAACATGTTAGGGGGAGGTGAGGTTTTTTTTGTCATACAGTACATCTTTATTTACCTGGATGTAATGAGAACACTGAATAACTTAAAACTATCTGTTTCAGATAACTGTGAAACTCTTAAATCTGCTCGCTTTTGGTAGTGATGGTTTGGGGTTTGGATAGCCACGTTTGTATGGTGGAACAAAATAGGCACTACTTTAGATTTGCTAGAAGTTAAGCTATATCTCATGGCTTCCCAAAGTTCTGTCTGTGGAAGATAATAGTGGGGCCTTGGATTAGGAGAATAAAAAAGTAAATAAACAAGTCAACAGTGTATTGTTTCGGTTGGAGCACCATTGTAAACCATATAGACTTGTTTTGGTTTTAATGTTAAAACTAAGGGATATCAAGTACCACTGGAAAGAATTTGAATGTTGTACTCGAGGTTATATTTGACAGGTATAGTTGTCCAGTTAAGAAACAGCTGCCTAAATGCACTTGTAAAACATTATAATCCATGAAGAATTTCCCTGTATAAAAGAGTTGAGTTGGATTTATGTCAGCTTCCTCAGTGTGATCATAACTAACCTTTGTGCCCTTTCAAACAGCAGCTCACTCTGATTTTCTTTCATTCATGCAGTATTCTGGGTGCCTGAATACAAGCTTGTGAATAAAAAACAGACCCCAAGGTGTGTGTTTGTTACTGTTAGGACAAAAAGCTTAGCTCGAGAGGAGAAAATACTGATACTACTAAGCTGATCTACAGATACTTACTGTTTGTTTCTCCATTCTCTTTTGAATGTATTTTGGTGAATCTCTGTTTTGTGTGTCTGGCTTACTAAGCGACAGGTCTGCGCTTTGAGCCTGTAACTCAGCTTCACTGATAAGGAGTAATACTGTACCTGTCAGGAGACTGAAAGTGTCAGATATTTTGGTGTATGTATAATAATATTCTTACTAGTTTCTGAAACATAGGATGTTGAAAACTGTAGTAAGTCTTGATACCTCTAGTTGCAATTCTGTACTCCTAGGTAGGGAATGAATGTTAGATTTTCACATCGTAGAACAGCACCACTGCATAAAATGGTAGGTAAGTCTGTGATGAAGTTTCAGTGAGCTCCAAACAGCCTCTGTTGAGTTAGAGAAGTTTTGGAATTTAATACCTTACCTTGGCAGGTCATCTCTTACAGGAAACCATATGTTTACTTTGGCTGTATGTATGTCTGCTCACTCTGCATAAATTGATCCAACTAAAAACTGTGGAAGAGAATCCATTTATCTTTTGCCAGTTAGTTTGATTTTTTTAAATTTATTTTTTTTTAAATTGAAAGTAATTCTCTGTATCTGAGTCTTTTGGAACGTACAGCTGAGAAAACTGCTCTTATAAACACTACTGATACAACAGATATTTTAATTTCCTCTTTCAGATGAGAACTCTCCAGCCAATTTCTGGGATTCCAAGAATCGGGGAGTGACTGGCACACAGAAAGGACAAATTGTGTGGCGAATTGAACCTGGCCCCTATTTTATGGAATGTGAGTACCTATTTATCAAATGCATATCAAAAGGCAAGCATGCTTTTGTGTCAGGGCAAGTCAACAGGATGGCATTTGATATCCATTTCTTCAATCCCTCTGATAAACCAAAGGGTTTGGTTGTATTGCTCTAAGAGGCAGCATTTTCCAGTGCGTTTGCTGGCTGTCATAAAAATGGAGTTGAACTCAGCTGTACATTTGTATTCCAGGGTGTCATGGTTTAACTCCAGCTGGCAAATAAGTACCACATAGCTGCTTGCTCACTCCCTCTCTGCCTTCCTCTTGGGATAGGCAGGAGAATCAGAAAAAGGTAAAACCTGTGGGTTGAGATGAGAACAGTTTAATAACTGAAATAAAGTAAAATATAATAAAAAAAACAGTAGTGGTGAAGAAAAGGGAGATAACAAAAGAGAGAGAGAAGTAAAATCCCAGAAAGACAAGTGATGCACAGTACAAGTGCTCACCACCCGCTGACTGATACCCAGCCCAACATGAGCAGTGACTGTGGGCCCCCTCCCCCCTTTTGATATACTGAGCATGATGTTCTATAGTACTAGCTCTATCCCAGATGAATCTAGAACATGGGGATATTCTTAGTGTGCTTCAGTTTAAGGGAGGAAGAAATTGCCCTTTGCAGTGTCATATAGTATATACACATTGAAAGATGAAGTCCCTTCCCAAGAAGTTAACATTTCAGCTAGACAAACGTTGATAGTAAACGCACGTGAAGGAAACTGTAATAAGCTAGTAGTGCTTGCTAATGTTTGTTAGTACAAAGGTTAGATTTGTCTCTAGGAAATGCCAGTCTCCTGTCCAGTTGCACCAGGATTTCTCAGCTGAAGTTTTGTTGTGCTGGGAAATCCACTAGGCAGTTTTGAAATACCAAGTCTCTATGTGACTGGAAGAAAAAGTCTTCAGCTGAACTCCATAGGGAGTATTGGTAGCCAAGCTTCCAATCAGAGAGCTCTGGCATTTCCTTAGGTGACCAGGGTTTGTAGGAAGCTAAGCCGCTCTGCTGTGTGCCTTTTGTTTGGTTGGTTTGGTTTTTTGCTTTTTGATGAAAAGGGAGCTATCTTACCACCTAAAGTATATGACCCCCTAAAGAAATTGATGTTCTAATCCTAAAATGTTATGTCTGAGCTTGCTGGAAACTCTGATTTGCCAAGCGTCAAAGTGGCAATCAGTCCCGAAAGAGCTGTGAGCTGCTCTACCACCTGTTTAGCCTCACAGCAATGAATCCTCCCTCACAAATAAATAACTAAGTAGAAGTACTCCCACTCTATTACTTCGCTGTACACTGCAGGGCTCCTAACTGTAGGTCTTGGCAGCAATTTTTATTCTAATTAAATGACATAACAGCAGTACGTGTATTTCAAGAGGTGTTGTGTACCCTGTGCCATAAATACTTATGAAAACTTCTTATTTCTAGAACTCATCATTGAATCCTGCCAAGTTTTTAATAAGATAAAATTAAATCCAATTTCAGGAGTTCATTACAGGAAAAATGATTAAACTGACGATAAAGATCAAGAAGAATAATAAACATCAAGATAATTAACTTTCCTGGAGCCAAAGACAGAAGTATATTAAAGCAGATTAAAAAGTATGTTAGGAGAGTTCATTGCCTCATCTTTCTTGTACATACTCTCTGTCAGTATTGTTACCAACACAGGCAGTTTGACTTCAAGGATGTTTGTATCTTCTAGCCAGTTATGTGTTGCTCCGTAATGTATGGAGATGAGGCTCTTGAACAGCATTTTTAGTTCATGTGAGTAACCTAGGATAATGCTTCAAGAACCTGTAGTTTTGACTTAAAACCAGTTGCAACTGACTTTGCTCTTTGCAACCAACTGATAGAAAGAGTGCAGGAAATATGTTCTTCGGTTATGGTTAGCTTTACTAATGAACAGTTCTCTGCCATACAATGAACTAGAGACAAGCAATTAGCAGCAGCTGAGAACTGTAAAAAGGAATGTTTTTGAGCATCTGCTGCTATAGCACATAGTATGGCAGATAAATATGTCACCAGTGACACCTGTATTTCTAGTGAGACAACAAAAATTACACTGAAACCCTTAACTGAATTTCTGATTCCACTTCTTAAACTAGAAGCTCCACAGATACGTGACCATGTTTGCTCAGCAAGGCTTTTTCTTGTAGCTTATAGGTGTTGAAGCACCTCTAATGCAAATACAGGCAGCTGCTCTTGTCTGTCTTCTTTCTTTTTTATCCCTCAGATCACTAAATCACAGCCCAGGCACAGGCAGCAAGTGGCTGCGCGGTTCAGGTGCAACCACAGTGTTACTGCCTCTGCGGCGCGGCACCGGGCTGGCTGTGGAAAGAGCTGCAGTGCTCTGCAGACACTGTCACCGCCCAGCCTGTGCCAGCCACAGAGGTGAACTTAGTGCCCTTGTTAACATCTTTCTCCTGCCATGATGCTGATATAATTCGTATTCTTACTGTACCACTGTTGTGATGCCACTGTCATAGCAAGGGAAGTAGAGGTAGAGGCAAACAGAGAGGCTAATATCCCCAGTAAATATAGAATCATAGAATGGTTAGGGTTGGAAAGGACCTTAGGATCATCGCGTTCCCCCCTGCCACGGACAGGGGCACCTCCCACTAGAGCAGGATACTTAAAGGCCTTATCCAACCTGGCCTTGAACACTGCCAGGGGTGGAGCACATACATACCTGATTATTGAAGTTAAGATATCTCTTATGCTTTAATCTGCTATTATTTTCCAAATTTGGAAAGAACTCTACAGTTGTAGATTTCTTGTGTTTAGAAATACCTTTTATAAGAGGCAGAATGTATCAATTGCATGTCATGGTACTAGAGGTTTGTCATATTCACTCCTCACAGTAATGACATGCAGCAGGCCATTAGCAACTTGACTGTGCTTCACAGTGAATGAAAGCAGCAAGTGGAGAACAATCCCAGATTCAGCAGCACTGTCCCAGAGTTTGTGAAGCAGCATCTCCAATAAGAGGCAACAATGTCTGTTGGACAAAATGGATCAATCTAGACTAATCACAGCCTAGGAATGCTGATTGCATCCAGCTTCCTGCTCTGTCTGGCACTTGACCTGGCCAGCTGTGGTTTGTAAAGCACAGTATTGAAAACCCTCAAGGACAGGTAACCTTTTCCAGTGCTGCAGTATTGTTTCAGCTGAAAAGATTTTTCTGGCATCAAATCTGAATAGCCAATGCTTAAATTTGGGGCCATTGCCCCTTTAAAAATCTTCTGATAGAACTGGAAAGAATTGAGTTTCTAGTAAGTCTCTCACCTTCACCTCCTCTTCACTAGACTAAACAAGGCCAGCTCCTTCAGCCTCTTCTCACAGGTCACGTTTTTTCCATCCCAACCATCTCTCTAGCCCTCTGCTGTCCTCTCTGTTTTCTTCATGCTCTTGAACCTAGGGACCCAAAACTAAGCACAGTATTCCTCACCAGTACCAAGTAGAGGGGGACAGGAACTTCCATCTCTCTGCTGGTCACACTTCTTCTAATGTAGCCTGTGAGGTGGTTTGTTGTATTTGTGATGCTAATATAATCCATGTGTTGGCTCATACTGAGCTTGGTGTCCATCCTGAGCCCAGTTCCTTTTCAGCAGGGTGCAGATTTTGCAGTGTTCAGAGGCCACAGTGATGCATGGGGTCCTTCCACCCCTGGTGCAGAGACTTGCAAGTCTCCCACTTGAATGTGATGATATTACTTTTGGCTAAGTCTTCTACTGCTTGTGCTCTGATGTGTAGAGAAGCTCCAGCAGGTAATGGAAATCTTGGTATATAATTGAGTTAGAGCTGGACTTATGTCACTGCAGGGTTTTCATGTTTGGAGCACAGTGCTTAGTTGCCACTGCCTGTATACTGCTATACCTACATGACTGGTAGACTCCCTGCTCTACCTATACACAAGGAGAGGAGGGGGATGTTTGCTGCAAGCCTGAGAAGCCTTGAACCAGCTGTGGCGATGAGGGCTGATGATGCTTCTTAACAGTTACGCTGTAACTATGTTAATCCTTTAGTATTTGCAGTCAGAACTGGCCTGAAGTTGCCTCCTTTTTTGTGAAGGAAAGGAACAGAAGTTGCTACTGTTGAATGATGAGATCAGGCAGCGTGCGTGTAATCCCAAAGACTTTGCTTGTGGTTTTTCCCTAGCAGTCTCAGAGCTTAGGAACATTACATATCTTTTTGCCAGTAATGTAACATCTCCGTAGGGCACGACGTGCACAGACTCAGAAGATCGCTAACAAGCCATATGCAAGTGAATCTCATGCAGGAGTATTTCCAGTTTAATTGCATTAATGTTAATCAGTGGGAGTCAGCTGGGTTTGGCCTCACATTCCTTCTGCAATCCTCAGATTTGTATTTTTTAAGAAAATCATCTTATGCCTTAATTTGGGAAGGTGTTTTTCTATGAGCATAATGGTAAACTTACTAATAGTTTCACTGAGGATTGTGGAATTTATGTTTCTGTTTAAAGGCAGGACTTGGATAAACATTTTTCTGATTTTTACATTACTGTGTATCCTTAGTTTTGTAACTCAATTTTCCAGGCATTCCATTTATTCTTCTTAAAATCCCTCCCTATGGATTCAGCATCTCCTGTTTCCCAACTAACATATAAAGGCAGAGTTGGCCATCTGTTCTATTCAGATCAAGCAACCTGCAGAAAGAAGGGCAGGGAGAGTCTCATCACCTTCAAACTAAAACCAGACATTAATTCCCCACAAAACATCCAAAATTAGCAAAACAAGCGCGATCAAAGAAAACTCTTACTTGCTTTAGACAAAAATCAACACCAAAAAATCTGTAAACTCTACCCTGAGAAGGGAGAATCGAAGGAATCAACAGTGAAATAATGAGCAATGAATTTAATGTATTCTAGAAATGCAAGCAGGATCTTAGTGGAGTGACTAAGGGGGAAGGCGGGGGGAGGGGGGGGGGGGGGGGGGGGAGAGTGTGCAAAGGAGAAAGAAAATGCTTGCAAAATGCG